CTCACGCACACTAAAACGCTGGGAGAGAGAAACGTCATCTCCGTGAAAGCGATTGCTCCGATTGCTTTTCTCGACTTCTTCCTACTTTTTTCTCCTATTCTTCGTTGCTTCCTTTATCTCATCAACTTTATTTTGCTTCCATCGAAAAAAAAATTCATTTTACTTTATTTTCTCATTTTACTTGACGCTCTTGCGCTCTCTTTCTCTCTTTCATACATGCTCTATTTCCCCCCTCCCCTCTTATTCTAGACGTCACTTTTATCTCGTAATGACTTATCACATGTTATTTTCTCGTTCGCACGCTCGTTCGTTCTCTCTCGCTCTCTTGTTTCTTTTAAACACTATTATCAAGTCATCGCACTGTTTGATACAAGGAACGATAATACAATTGAATATTTACGAACACAACATTGTTTCTTGTCATGCTGAATAATGTGGCGTGGCTTGTAGAAAGACGCAAGCTCCTGGACTTGCGGGTGACCAGTCTCGCATCTCTCTTGCAATGTCCTATGTAGTCGATCCTGTAAGTATAGTTGTGATGGTGTGGTGATGGCGGTGGTAGATGTGATAATAATTGTGGTGGTGGTGATGGGTGGTAAGTAGTGATGGTGGTTGGTGACGATGATAGTATCCGGTTTTAGTATTTACAATTGGTTATAGCAATCGTTATTTCCCTAAGATGAGATGGTGTACACAGTCCGAGCGCTCAAGATTTGGCATGTATTGGTATATATCGAGGATTTTGTCCTTAGTCCTTCCTCTCCACTACGAACTGCTCGACGCGTTCATACCACTAAACATGCCGATATTGAACGAGCTTTGTTGCTGCTGCTGGATCTGTTGTTGTTGCTGCTGTTGCTGGCTGTTCGCTTGGCGGCCATGTTTTGGCACTGGGGGTTGCAGGTATTCGTGTCTAGCTAGTGTCAGTACGTCTATACGTTCCTCCTTCCTGTACGCTAGGCAACTTCTTATGAAACTCTGTAACAATAAATCGTCGCATTATAAAATGGCTCTCAATTTCGATTGTCATCATTTTTTTTTCTCACTGACGATCTTACCTTAGCTTCGTTACTGACGGTTGGTTTATTCGCGAACTGGACTTCGGTGGCTTTTAGTATCGTATTCTCCTCTAAAATAGTGGCTTGCGATTGATTGTGACCAAAAGGCTACAAAAATAATTTTTTTTTTAATACACATGTTTTATTATATTCGCGATAAATGAAATTTTGTGAGATATATGCGATAAATACCTTTTTACCGTATAGACATTGATAAAATATAACTCCTACGCTCCATACGTCAACCTTGGACGATATTTTAGGAGGATTTTTGCCAATGACGAAGCATTCAGGAGGTAGATACCTATAATAAATGCAAAAGTACAAGTTTTGTACAAGTTTGTAATCTCCATTAATAATTAACGAATAACATGATAAAATAATTTAAGAGAAAATACATACCAATAAGTACCCGCTCCTTGGGACGTTAGATCCATTCCGTGATCCGGATTATAATTTTCCTCGTCCATTACTTTACTTAAACCGAAATCCGTGATTTTTATTTCACCGCACACATTGCCTTCGGTTAACAGGATGTTACCTGCAAACGGGAGCACCAAATAATGAAATCATACTTGCGTATAAAAATAATCCTCATTATAAAAGTCTTCGTTAATGACTATTGTATTTGCCAAGTAATATTTACCTGGTTTCAGATCGTAATGTATGACTGGGGGTTTTATTTCATTGAGGTATTTTAATGCCGATACGACTTGCATAACAATAGATCTCGCTTCTCTTTCGGGTATAGTCTTATGCTGCAAAAATTTAAAAAAAAAAAGACAGTTCGAAAATAATGAAAATTTATATTACAATCTATAATATAATCATTAACATAGAAAATTCGCATCAAGTGACAATTGAACGCTTACCTGTTTGAGGTAAAAATCTAAATCATGGCCATCACAATATTCCAGAACAGTACAAAAGGAATTGGCATCAATTTCAAATACGTCGTACAATTTTACGACTCGAGGATGATCAAGTGCTTTGTGTATATTATATTCTCGCAATGCATGTCTGTTGTAACAAAAAAAAAAACAAGTAGAAACATCCTTCTTGAGAGGAACTAGATCGTGTTGTTATTAAAATATCTTTATATTAATTATCAGTTATAATAAATTAATATCGACAGAAGAAGAAACTTAAGAAAACTTACTTTATGTAATTAGCCTTCTTATCTTCTTTCCAGTCTTTATTTAATTGATGCACCTTACAAGCCACGTACCGTTGCTCTTTTAAGTCAAATGCCTATACGTGAAAAAAAGAACAATATTTTTTTGTATATTTATAAATTTTGTATATTTATAAATTAATGGCTAACGAAAGCAAGAGATAGAAATATTTCGTTACCTTATGCACTTCACTGAAACCGCCTTTTCCTAATAACATTAATAAGAGATACCGCTCATTCAAAACAGGATGAGAGTTAAATCTCGATTGGTCCTCGTTATGAATACGCTTTAACTCTCTAATGTGTAAATTTCGCTCCCTTTCGAGCTTTTCCATTTCTAGTTGCAAATCTGCGTCTTCCTTTTTCAACGCACTTTGCCTCAACTGGAAGTACACATCGCAAGGCTTAAAAATGTTGAAAAATCGAACATTTATGAAAAGTGTAGTCGCAAAATGTTGATACCTTGAGTATTTCGTCAGCTTCATAATACTCCTGCCACGTATACGACCCAGGTACTGCATCTGGCTTCAAAAACGTCGCCTCGGTACCATTATGCAAGGAGGGTTGTGGTTGACTACGTTTCCTGCCTGTCTCGCTGTTCGACGGCCTCTTCTTAAGTAGCAGCTTCTTCTGCTTGTCGATCTCCTCTCGTTCCGTTGCTATCTCTTCTTGCCGTCGTGCAAGCTCGTGAAATGCATAACCGTCGGTCCAGTTCTCTTGAAACGTCGCACCCACCCTTTGCGTCACAAATTGACCCAACCTCAGTCTATTTTGCATACACTTCTGCCTAGCCTCCTTTTTTTCTATGTTTGATTTTTCTTTTAATAACTTCTTTACAACGTCTATACACTTATTTATATGTGATTTGTGCTGCTCAAGCACTTTCTGTTGATTAGCGATTTGATGCCTAAGTTCGTCCGTTGTCTGTAAAATTCAAAGACGCTAGATTAATTTGCTATCGTCAAGATACCCAGCACAGCTCTCGCTTATACAATAAATTTTAGATTATGTGAGTGTTTTATGTGATCTAAAGAGCAGTATATATATATATATATA